AAGTATAAACAGACAATTTTCCATTCGAAAACCAATTATCATTTACATATCATAGACGAGGTTCCGCTCGCTCGTAGGCTCACACTCGGGGTCAATATATTTACCGTATTACCACTTCAAAATGATCTCATCTCCGCCCGATATGGCTTGGAGGAAAGCTGGTTTGTCTAAGCGATAGTGCCATCAGCGGAGCTCAACCTATCCTGGATATGTGTCCGCTAGATGTATGTATACATACCAAAAGAAGACGGCCAGCCAAATCGCTTTTGTTAAGATTTTATCGCGTTGTTAAATACTTCTAACCAGTATGGAATCGAGCGTATCTCAAGCGGCCGTTTAATTCGGATGTTTAGTTATTTAAATACAAATTTAAACCAATTACAATAATGACTAGTACTATAACTATCTGTTTATATCAGATTATTCAATACCTTATACTTGGATTATAAATCAGGCAGTAGTAGAAAAAAAGAACAACACAACACTAGTTTTAGTGTAAAATAACAGAACGTCAATATAATTCGTTTCGCTTTGATACCGCTAGATCGCGCTCGTTGAAACGATCTATGATCTGTTATTCTAAGTATTGAAGTGTTTTGATAAGTAATTAAGCGATCGACACGACTATTTACTTTTGAGTGCCATCATGCCTCATTAAGAAACGGACGTCTTAAAAGCATTGAATTTTTTTATCATGAGTGTAATTAACGTGGTACTTGATATTGAAGAACACTTAAGATTTTTGTAATATTGTATCATGTTACGCTATTTACTCCAGTGATTCATATAGGAGATTATTCCATACGGTTATAATATGATTTATTAGGTCGTTTGGTTTGAAGTAAACCGATGCATTTCTTTTATAACTCTTCGGCATATAGAGGATTTTTATAAAATAGGTTAGAATCATAGTTACTCTATATTGTCAATTAAAGGCGTATAATGACATTTATATTCTATATTTTAGTTAATTATTCTTGTTGCTTCTATAAGTATGTAATTTTACTAAGTGTTTAAATTTTACGTTCTTTCAACTATATGATATACACATATATTTTCTGTGGTATTCCTTATTTTAAAACGCTATAATATTATGCAAAATCGTATGGGAATGCATATCGAATTAAGGCAATAAAATGTCATGCTTAAAATAAAATAGAAATACTATCCAATACGCTACTTTATTTGAATAATTTATTTACCTACTCGAAGACAAGTTGATATTATTGGATGGGTGTCAGATTAGGCGTCACTGCCAATAAATATTGTAAATGTTCGATGTTATTCACCGAGCGTCGGGCCCGTTGATGTCTTTTGTACTGCGCGGGCGGTGCTGGTTTTCATATTCTCCGTTATAAGATTAACTAACAGCGCATATACCTATAAGGTGAGCCTATATTAATTGATAAGCTTAACTTCATTGTAATCGTAAAGATTTTTATAGGCGATTATTGTTCACAAGTTGGCCTATGTTTATGTAATTAAGGTGTAGACATCCTAATTTCTAATCCGCGGAACATTACACGTTATTAAAATGAGACAAATTTATTGCCTTGCTCCGATTATACCTTTCGATAAACGCAGACCGGTGATTATGATATCTCAAGAGTTAAATCGCAGCTCAAACCAGTATCAATAAAAATCGAATAGCTCACGTTAGAATCAACAAGGTAAGAATATTTAGAAGCGTTATCGCCGTGATCAAGTCTAACAATGCGTTCGATGTTGTTACAATATAGCAACATTTTTAACGTTTCATCGATGTAGCAATCGTTAAATAAATTCCCTACGCCCTCTCGAAAGCTCTGATTAATATCGTACACGGACCGTTGTAGAGGCTTTTTTTCACTTTCGTGTTTTCGACTTTGATATTTATGATCGGTGACAGATAGTGAATGGTGCGTACTTGTTGACTAATGTTCGAAATTTTCTATACGCGTATTAATTGAATTTATTTAACAGTAACATAATAATAAACTGACTACTGTATTGCATTGGGTGATATTTATTGATTTAAAATATTTATACATCTGAATTCACACAATTATTTAATTTAATTTTAAATCTGAATGACTAAGGGGTACTTTGTAAATTAAACAATTAATAAAATTGTCATACAAATTAATGATATTAATTTTGTACATTAAATGTAAGTAGAAAAGTGTAGTATTTCTTATTTATAACATCCGTGCAACTTGCAGTAACAATGTATATAAAACATTCCTAGTGTAGTAAAATAAATTGCCTATTAAGTTACATGTAATAAGCCAAGATGCAAGTGTGAGAGAAAATTAATTTTTTGCTATAAAAATAACCATTTTGCCGAACGCGGTTCAGGTGCGGTTTCACTGTATATTGTAAAACAATAACAGGTGAACAAATAACTGTAATCTAGCCACAAATACGTTTGTATGGGGCAGAGATCTTTCTTTTTGTACTTTTCAATAACTGATGTTGCAATTTGAATTATTATTAAGTTTTTGCTATAGCAAAATGGTGCATGAAGTAATGCAAGTTTCATTATTGGGTGTAAGCTTCTTGATTCCTTTGCCAAATTTGACTAGCAAGGAACGTTGTATCATTATTATTATACCTATATTTGAAGTCCCTATGTCTGAATGAATGCCTGAAATGAAAACAAAACTAGGAACGGTTTAATCAAAAGCAAAAAATCTTAACAATAATATTTCTTTATTAAGGCAGATCTTTTTAGTGAATTATTGACATTAAGCTAAAGCTTGATAGTATTTGGAAGAGTTAAAACAAAAAATTTAAATTATTCGTTATTCCTAAGCATTGACAATAAATATTCTTGCGCCGTACTAGACAATCTAGGTATTTGGTAGTTCTGTTATACGATACTAGTAAATTTTAGTTCATTACTAAAAGAAAACTTTTAAAAAGAACAGAAAATAAAACTCGCTACATGCAGTAAAAGAGCAAAAGGGCAAGTGTGTATTAGAATAGCTCAAAATGCGTTTGGTCTTTCTGACCGCAGAATGGGTTAGCCGCTGGCGGGATTGATTTTCTTTTACATTTGTTATAACAAATTTCTTGTTTTAGTAATAAAGTATAAATAACTTTTATAGAAATAAAAAATAATCTATTTAAACGAAATATCCATATATGTAAGGTTAATTCGCAAATATTTCACTTAAGTGTGTATGTGTTTAAAGTTTTGGATTAACTATATCGGTTTAGTTAATAATCTAGCTAGATTATTTATAAAACTTTCTAATTAGAAACCAGTACAAAAAGTAATATTTATTGCCTATTTGAACTTAAATTTGAGTATCTTTTAGGTAATTATTTATTTCTGTATGGTAATTTACAATATAAGTCGTTAATAATATAGTATTATTAAAAAAAAATTGAATTATTTATTTTATTATCTAGTTAGAATTAACAAGTACAAAAAGTACTACTAAGACGCAATACTATATGCAAAAAACAGTTGTAACTTAAATTTCCGTATATTTATTTTTAGATTTACAATATAATTTGTTCGTTTTAATAATTACAACAGTTTTTCTGAAATCATCAATCACGAAATTCGGCATTTGAAATAGTTCAAAACAGCCGCGAACAAAATGTATGCAGTTATTTCACACCTACTTAGAGCATCTCATTACCTCGGATTGAAAGTCAGCGGTCGACGTCTCCTTACGCATTTGAAGCAAAAAACCTGCTATGCAATATCCTAGCCTCAGACCATCATTTGAATATTTCGCTCGCCTCGACTATTTTTAATCGGAATACGAAATGTGCTTGTATAAGCAGCGAATAATTTTCGTCTTTTATCGGTAGTTGATGAATAAACATGAGATTTTACACAGTAATTATCTTGTTAGTGTGAACTTGTGAAGTTTTTTAATTGTATTTTTTGTATACGTTTCTGGTAACTGTATTATGTTTAAGGTATTTATAAGTAACTAGCTGACCGGGCAAACGTCGTTTTGCCATGTATATCATTTATAATAAAAAATAGGGGTTGATCGTAGAGGGGTGTATTTTTTAATGCTAAAAATCTAAAAATTAAAAAATAATAATTTAGGGGTGGAGTACCCTTAACATTTAGGGGGATGAAGAATAGATGTAGTCCGATTCTCAGACATACCCAATATGCACACAAAATTTCATGAGAATCGGTCAAGCCGTTTCGAAGGAGTTTAACTACAAACACCGCGACACGAGAATTTTATATATTAGATGTATTTTTGTAATCGAATTTAACAAATATTTGTAAACAAATATTTGTAAATCTCAATTTTTCTCTATTACCTGATTTAATTAGCGTTCACATTGTAAATTTTAAATCCTATAATAAATATTTGAATAAAGCCTTTATTCTCTGACCGTTGGTAACAAATAATTGGTGTCCTCTGACATAGCCTTTTAAGTGGACTTAATATATAGGAATGTATTTCCTTAAATATTATAATTTTTTGTTTATTATTATGTCATACAAAAATGCCTATTTTATAGGATTATTTGCGGTCATGTATGAGTGATTGTAGTGTATGCAACAATAAAGTGTAAAAAGAAAACTACTTAATAAATTTCACTTTGTTTTATTTTCTATATCACTTTTGGACCAAAAATAGATTTTTTACAATAAATATTTGCCGATGTAAATTACAAAATATACATTGATGGGACATTCATGAATCCTAACTAACTATAGCTAATTTTATCACAGATTTTGGCAGCAGTGCCTTATAAGTCGTTCTAATAGTAATCGGCAAGATTTGCCTAACAAGCACAGCCTTAAAAAGGCCTTATACACATTTTTTAACATAAACACATGCATAAAATGTATATATTTACCAAAGTACATATGCTCTACATACATTGAACTAAAGGCTAGCTTTAGTATGAAGCTATTTACACATTAAAATTACTTACAATAAAAGTCAATATTTACAATACGTACGCTAACGGACTAGCCATCACAATATACACTGCCACTGGGTACAGTACTTTCATTCACTTTTCACTCACTACACATGGACGGAAAGGTTTCTCGGTGATGATCTAGGGGGTAACTGGTGCGCGCCGTGAGCGGGGTGCGGGGGCAGCACAGGGTGAGCCCCGTGCACTGGCGGAGGCGGCAGCGCCCCCAGATGATTCCTCGGGTATTGATGTCGGTGCATGGCCATAGCACTTGCACCAGGGCTTGGCATGCCACGCAGCCGCTGCTTGTTGTGCACATCGGGTAACGCGAACTTTAACTTTTCCCAAAAATGTTTATCCTCCCACTGGATATGCGTATTTGTTTTTAAATACAGTCTTATATCAGGATCGAGATCCTTTTGCGGCACTTCACCCAACACTATCACTATTAATCTCCGTCTTCTATCTCTAAGTACTTGGTGATGGGCTGATTTAAACTCAAATCGACACCATTCGGACTTTATGAAGTTTTCACTTAATATCATAATCGTACGGCGCGACGATTCAACCGCTTGTATTATATTATCAGCTACATAGCCTCCGACCGGGAAGTCTCGGTAATGCAGATACAGTTTGTAGGCGGGGTCGCCTCGCTCCAACATCGGCGCGAGCTTCTCTGTGACCCAAGCTTCATCTTTAGAACTATAACTTACGAACGCATCATATAATTTCTCTCTATCATCGCGGTCTACCTCACTCGCTTTGTAGAATAATCTCACGCCGAATCTCGAGTGAAACCACACCCTCATTTCTTGTCTGAATATGAAGACAATCATGACAGCGAATAGAACAAGTAAAAACGCTCCAAGGGTCGAAACGAGTAAGGGAATGTAATCTTGGACGTCTTCGTTCGTAATTATCGTTTTTGTGGCGGTTAAGTTTCCATTTATGCTGTTGTTTATGCTCGGAAGTCCTGTGCATATTGTGCCATTTTCCTCGACAATGTTAAACCCGGAGCCCGGTTCACTGAATATGGTGTCACTGTACACTGTTGCGTTTGTATCATTACGCGAGTAAATACATCTTACATTTGATAAATCTGTAATTGACGTTACTCGTTTTGTCCACTCACGAAACATTTCTGTATATTCACAATCGCAAGACCACGGGTTGAATGAGAGTGAAAGCGAAGTAATCGCAGGGTTGATTTGCCACACTGTCAAAGTCACTAATCTGTTGTTATGTAAGTGTAAGATCTTCAAACGAGCCATATGATGAAACATCTCTTTACCAATTGATTTTATCAAATTATTATTTATGTATAACTCGCGTAAATTGTCCAGGCCATCAAATTCTTGTCCTTCAATGCTCGATAATATGTTGTAATCCAAATGTAATATTTCTAACTCCTTTAAACCATTGAAGGTGCGATTGTGTATTGTTTCTATCTTCGATGAGTTTAAATACAGAACTTTGAGACGTTTTCTGCCAATAAATGCATGACTGGGTAGCATTTTTATGTCATTACCGTCGAGATACAGTTGTGTGGCCTCCATAGGTATGCGATCGGGTAAAGAGTTCACATACCCCGCATTAGTACATTCCACGACGTTCGCTGACCACGATTGGTCGTGGTAACAAGTGCAGTTGTTCGGGCAGGTCATCTCACAATCGCAGGCGTCAAAATCACAACAATGACATAGAGCGAAACAATGAAATTCGTATTTACATAGAAACTGATGTGACGCGGCTTCTACCAAAGGCACGTACGCGTTTCCACGATTATACAACAATTTACAGTAAATGCTGTCTAAGTCCATTAGTTTAGGTTGTGTTCGAGCTCTGTTCCCAGTGTTTATTTTTTGTAACCATTCCATAGTACAATCACATTCTAATGGATTTCCGCCTATGAAGAACTCGGGCACTGATTTATCTTGAGGTACTGCGGATATTCTCAAAGAATTCGGGTCTAAACTTGTTATTTTATTGCCGTATAAATCGACTCTAGTTAAATTGGGTTTCTTGAAGAATGTATAAGATTGGACTTTCGATATCAAGTTGTCGTTTAAATACAACATTTCGACGGAGTTAGGTATTGCGCTTCCGGTTATTTCCGTTAGCCTATTTGAGCTCGCGTCAAACGTACTCAAAGACAGTTGTGATTCGATCTCAAAGTAATTTCCAAGTTCAGCAATTCTGTTTGCGTGAATATCCAGCCACTGCAATCCAGTTGGAATCATAGCGTAGTCGAACCATTCTAGGCGATTATCGGAAATGTTCAGCCACACCAAATTAGGTAACTTTGCGAAAAGACCGCCAATGTCGGTCAAGTAATTCCCATCCAGTCTTATTGCCTGAAGATTCACGTTGCCATCAAAAGCGCCAGCTTCAATTTTGTGGATTTTATTTCTAGACAAATTGAGTATTTTCAGTGAAGTCATTTTGTCGAACACGCCTTTGCTGATATTTCCAATGTTATTTTCTGTTAAACGCAAACCGTACATCTGTTGCATGGTCATGAAGGATGCGTTTTCAATGCTCACTATTAAATTCTCTCCCAAGTCTAAAGTTTTAAGCTGTGGGATTTCTTTCAAAGCGATGGGAACTTCGTCCAGTCTATTCCCATTTATATGCAAATCTTGTAAAGATGTGCAGTTGCGTAAGGCATGCGGGTGTATTTTTGTTATTCGATTACTGTCTATTGACAACACAGATAATACGGACAGTCCGGTGAACGAGTAACTCTCGATATTCGTTAATCGGTTATTCGATAATATTAATGTATGCAAATTATTGAGTGAGCTAAATACGTTTTCAGGTATGTGTTCTATAAAATTATCCTGCATTTTTAGTATTTGCAAATTGTTTAAATCTCTTAACAAAGCTATTTCCATTTTAGAAACTCTGTTGTGAGAGAAATCTAAAAACACTAGCCGTTTTAATCCGGAAAAAGTGGACGTGTTAATCCAATCTGAGGTTAATTCGTTGTGGGATAAGTCTAAGACTAGAAGTTGGAGTAAATCGCTAAATAATCCCGGAGCTAACACAGTAATCGTGTTATTGTTTAAATATATTTCCTTGAGCTCCTTTGTGTCACTAAATAATTCAGGCGGGAGGCTTGTCAGCTGATTATCAGAGAATCTAACTGTTGTCAGTGAGACGAGCCCTTCGAGGGCCCTGTCGGCTACGGATGTTAATCCATTTCCTTGAATATACAATTTTTGCAACCTTTTTAATCCAGATAAGAGACCTGGTGGTAAAGTGTCTATTAGGTTTCTTGATAAATCCAGTACAATGAGATTATCCCCACATTTCTCTGTTGGGTGACGATGCGCAGTGGAAAATTGAAAATGACTTATATCTCTCATTCGATTCCCGGTCATGTTTAAATATTCTAAATTTCGTAAAGTACATAAAGCTCCGTCCGGAAATGTTAACATGTTATTTTCACTGAGATCCAAACGTTCTAAGTTCTGCACGTCTCTGGAGAAGGCAGTGGGTGTAACTTCAAGCGACATTGTAGACCAATCTGTATTATGCGTTCGTATTGTTAAGTTTCTCAGTTCTCGAAGGCCCGTGAAGGCGCCGTCAGATAGATTTCCTATTTTACAATATTCTATCGTCAGTTCCCTCAACTCTACAAGCTGTCGAAAACTCGCGGGAGCAAGAGAGCTTTGAAAGAAGAGCGCGTCACTACACTCAAGTCGCAGTCGTACAGTGAGATGGGGTTGTATAGCACTGAAGTTGGTGTTTTCCAATTCACTGTTTATAGTCCTCAATCTGCATTGTAATGCTACGCCAGCATCATCCTCATCAGTCGTCCACCTGCACTCATCAGGAGCTTGATAACGAGCTCCCGTCGTGGACAACGATGCAGTCCACGCCGGTGAAACGGCGCTTAACGCCAATAAGGCGCTGGTGAACCACATTATACACATTGTTTTTATATAACTTCACTTTAATACGAACATAGTTTATTTACATTCCAAAGCACTACAACTGCACACAATTACGTAACACTATCGGCAAGTTCATATCGTTTATATTTCCAACTGAACTACTTCACGTTCGAAACCAGTCACTCTTGTTCCGCGAAAGCACTAATTGGACAAGATCGTAAGTCCGTTCTATCTCACGAGACACGTACGCGTGCGTCCGTGCCGAGGACTGGGGTGGGACTGGCTCCGAGTCGAACCTGCATTGCGCTCGCGCACAAGGCCGCGACGGTTCACGCGTTCCAACAGGTAAAGTTGTTGCCGGAATTAAAACGATCTAACCGCCATATAAGCAGCTTTATGTTACGCTCTATCGTTTTGGACTCGACGCTCGACAGAAAAATTCACGACGCACACATTGAAGCGCGATACGCAACACAGGGAGAGGGAACCGCTTTTTGTAATGCTCGAACAAGCTTTCAGTGAGTATGTCAGAGCGGGACGGATGGATGGTTACGAGTAGAGCTAACTTGGTGGGGGATTAAGCCAGCTGCCCAGGTAGTGCGCGGGCGCACTGGCGCGGTTGCCGCTTGTTAACACTTCGCGGATAGAATTGTGATATGAGGAATTCATGATTGCTGATATTTTGTTTACTCATTGTGTATAATGAAAAATAGTATCACACTTGCACGTAATGATAATGATTTGACATAAATTATGGAATAGTCAAACATTTCATAACTTATATAATTAATCTAAGTTGTAACTAAATATTTAAAGACAATAAGTTATTCTTCAGTAAATTATAACAAACAAGTTCAAGCTATAAACGTCTCTAGCCAATGTTTTGCGTTGAAAATAACGTAACGGTTATACTGTAGTAGAACCTACATTTTCCAAATAAGGAAACTTATATCTTACAAAAAGGATGTATTGTCTACACTTTTTTCTTTGCAATAATTATAGAGCAGCTTTATATATTTGGTTGCATATTTCTTGCGAGCGTTCTTGAGGCTATAGGATAATTATTTTAATTCATTCCAGCGCTACTACTCCATAAATATGGAATTTCCTGAACACGCAAAACGTCTGCATGCTATACCTACTGTGTTTAATTTAATTTAAATTGCACTTCTGAAGAATTCCGATCCTAATCTACCTTTATTTTTGTTAAACGATTTTGCTATAATTCTACACAAGGCCATCGCAAACCTATCATCAAATTAAACATCCAAACATTATGTGTTTTGTGAGGGTTGCAATTTAGGGACCATTTCATTTAGTAAAATGTGGTAATTTTTTATACGAACTGCATTTTGTGATTTATACGCATCGGTGAAAAGGTGTTATTATAGTTTTGTTCTTCACAAAGCAACATATTTCTGAAGAGGAATCATTAATAACTCAAGATGCGAAATGCCAGATCTTGTATATTATGCGTCTATTGTGGTCTTGCTCTTTGATAATAGATCTATTCATGGGTGGAGCGAAAAAATTTACACGTCTCATACTAAATACATTTGAATTTCTGTCCGATTAATTAAAATATGTAAGTGTAATTGATTGTTAAACACTGTACGAAGGTGCAAACATAATTCTTTACTTAAATTTAATTTTTATTATAGATCAGTATTAGCCTAGTGACTTTAGCGTCCGATCTCATCCCTGAGGTCGTAGATTTGATCTCATCTGTGCACCAATGGTCTTTCTTTCTATGTTCGCTCGGTGAAGGAAAGCATCGTGAGGAAACCGGTTTGCCTTAAAAGTCGACGGTCTGTGTCAGGCACAGGAACTCACTTGCCTATTAGATTGACAAATGATCATGAAACAGAAACCTGAGGCCAAGACCTAAAAAGGTTGTAGCGCCGCTGATTTATATATTTTATTATAATTGAATTGATATTAAACCAACCTTAACATTTAATAAGATATACGCGACTTTATGGCTTTGAAATAAATTACGACATATTTTTGCAGTAAATAAGAACTTCTGTTAAACGTACGATCAAAATCTTGTTTATTGCGAACATCAATACTCTTTTAAAGCACAATATGCATCACGTAATAAATGGTTTAGATCATAATTTTATATAGTGTCGAGGTAGGGAGTTTGCCGTCCGTCGAGTCGCTATTTATGCGAGTATTCTCGGTCTCGGGGCACCCTCTATATCTCAATTGCTATAAATTATCTCCTTTGACACGCGAGAAGCGGAAAATTTGCAATCGTACCACCAGTCCCTTCCCGCAGTCTTACCTTTGTGTAAACATCGCAAATGGTTTTGTAATGGGAATGGCGTTAGCAACGGCTCGATATATCACGTATCCCACGGATCGTTTGTCCAGGTCGCGCCTGGCCATTACAAAAGGCCAGCGGGTGATCCCTCGACTTTTTGTCGTAAGTAGGCTCGGAGAGGCGCTCTTTTAAAAATAGAATAGAATAGATTGCCGGTAAATCGGTCGTTATTGTGAGGTTATTTAATGCGCTGCCCCGCTATTTGTGGCTCGTTATAACAATGTCCGAATTCAATTTACAAAGGTATGTGTCGTCACGCAACTGTCAGGGTGATGGTGCGCGTGGGCATAGTGCGATGTGGGTCAGATGCCTATGATTCATGAAACACTTGAGATTTCAATAGAAAATTATCGTTTCGAGTATTGTTGTGAACTAACTAGTGTCTATTGTAAAACTGTAAATTTGAAAAGAGAACGCCGATATTGTAAATTATCGTTATTAAAAATATTATAAAACTGTAAATTTGAAAAGAGAATGCTGATATTTTAAATAATAGTTTTAAAACTATTGTAAAACTGTAAATTTGAAAAGAGAACGCTTATATTTTAAATAATAGTTTTAAAACTATTGTAAAACTGTAAATTTGAAAAGAGAACGTTTATATTTTAAATAATAGTTTATTAAACTATTGTAAAAATGTAAATTTGAAAAGAGAACGTTTATATTTTAAATAATAGTTTATTAAACTATTGTAAAACTGGAAATTTGAAAAGAGAACGTTTATATTTTAAATAATAGTTTATTAAACTATTGTAAAACTGTAAATTTGAAAAGAGAACGTTTATATTTTAAACTAATAGTTTATAAAACTATTGTAAAACTGTAAATTTGAAACACAAAAAAATTAAACTAGCCGAATTCCCGCCGACCCTATAATTATCAAAACACGGGATCGAAATTACTGTCCTATAAAACGCATTCCCTTATCAGGTACCCATCGATGTATAAAACGATTTGACTGATTTCCATTATGTTATTAATTTTTATAATTTCGGTTCCTAATCTCATACGACAAGCTGATACCACGGCGACACTTATCTCGGTGTCGGTCGACACGTATAATCCATTAAGTCGTCATTTCCACTCGGCTGATCATTCCTCAACGCTTCGAACCGCCCCCGTACGTATTGTTCGCTACTGCTTATCTTGCTACAGCTTTTTAGGGGTAAGGTGTCTCTGAATGTTGTATGACAATTACTAGTACAGTATCTTAGAAAAATAAGATTTAATATGAAACGGCAGTTCCTCATATTATAGTTAAAACGTTGATCCACGAGAGACAACGAAATTATTGTAGAAACACTAAACAGATGACTATAACGCTGTTTTGAGTCACTATTTATAGACTCAGTTTCCGCACTTAGGAAACTGAGTCCTCTCCACAACCCACCCTCCTAACGGACCAACCGTTGTGCGTCAAGTCATGGTGGTTTTCCTCCTGGTTTTGAGTCACTAATTAGTTTATCTGTACTGAATAAAGCTGTTGACTTTGGCTACCGTTTGGTTATTACCATGCAATATATAGGAGCATAGTATCAAAAATAATGCTTATTCCTGCACTGCGGTAATTGTATAAGTGATATAAAAACATGTATGACCTAATTTTTCTACGGGTTTAAACTGTACTTTATAAATTTTCCCTTTCACCTAAAGAAAATTGTCTTGGACGCTTGTATCTTACCTACTCTCATAGGCTGCCAAACGTGGACATAGAACGCAAATATAAAACTTAACTATTAGCATGCCGGAAAGAAATGGAGAGAACCGTACTTAAAATTATAAAAAATGCATGAAAAGTTAAAAGCGAAAAAACACGTAAAACAAAAGTTATATATAAAAATGTGTATAATAAAAAATTTAGCCTGTATATCAATATTTGTAAACATTATTATTATTATATTAATAAACTGTGCTAACTGGTATATAAGTACTTATGTATATTATGAAATTATAATGACATGTTTTTGTTCCAGGTAATCATCGTTGGCACATCACAGTTCTCATTAGGTAAAGTACAATATCAACAAAAACATAATATACAACTATTTCGTGTTTGCTAGTCGTGATGCGATAATGTGACCAAATCGTGTATACTAATAGATGAAATTCTTCCATTAAAACCTAACAAGATTTTAAGGCTATTACTAGTTTTCGCAATTATTTAGCTTCTTTACTTCTTACATATGTATATTGACCTTCTTTATTAGTTCTCCATAAGCATCAAATATACAGTATTTATTCAATTGACCTACATAGAAATAATTAAAATAATTAACCATTAAAACAAATCAAAAATTATACAGTACCTTTAACGCTGCAGCATTTTCTTACCTACGTATAGAATAATTAAAATGAATTCGTAAAAATGAACAACAAATTGGGGACAAAAGCTTACAGGCCCAATGTACTCTTTAACGCCTGTAGCACTTACCCCACTGCCCTATTGCGCTCTAAGGGAACAAAATCGAAGTTGGAGGAAAGACTCTTATATTTAAGCCGTTTATAGATAATTAATTTATACACAATGTTTCATTTTGGTCAGACGGTAGTGCCTGGAAGCATAGACAACTAGCATAAACGGCATTTCCACAGAAAGTACCTGCTAAGTCTAACTTTGATTTTTTATTAACGTTATACCAAAAATAAACTTTTTAGCCTGTTATTTAATAACAGTACATTCTTTGTACCTAAGCACGCGGAATATTTTTTA